GGTAGGAGGCGGCTTTCCGCCCTCAAGGCCCTGGTGTCCCTGCGGTGACGGGCCATTCGGTCACGCCTAGGCTTTTGTTAATTTCCGAGAGACACCACAACAGCAACGGTCCGTGCTCCGCAGAGTTCCGTCGCGTGTCCCGCAGCCTGCTTTACGCTGCCCAGGGACTGTCTTGCCGCAGAAGGTCCCAGTCCTGCCCTCCCCGCCCTCCCGGGTGTGGGTGTGGGCAGCTGTGGGCTCTGCAGGCAGAGAGCTGACTGACGGCGGTGCTTCCCACCGCTCCGCAGAACCGAGATGAGCGGCCTGGCTCCACTTCATGAACTTTACACAAAAACCCTGTGCCTTGACTGAGATTTTAAATTGTCTTAGAATTGCGGTTGGAATGCGGAGGGTACCCTCCGGCAGCACTCATTTATCTGGGTTTTGGAGATTAGATGTAGATGGAATTGTTATTTACAGTCTTAAAATTTTCCGTCTGAATCGAGATTTGGATCTTACAAGTTGTGTAAACTATTGCTGTCCTTTTTTTTTTTTTGAGAAGTATACCGTATGTATACTGCTGTACTTTGTGAACAACTATTATTTTGAGACCACAAAGGTTTTCCTGCGCCGTTAGAGCTGCATATCTCTTGTCGGCATCAATAATGAAAGTGCTTGGGGGTGCCATAGTTGAACACCACAGTGCCATAAGACGTTATACTGAAAAGAATCAGTTTGCAGGCTGGGAATGCATGTCAAATTATGGGGCCTCTCACCCTCTTTGCTTCTTGAGGAAACTTGGTAATAGTACAGGTTAGTCTGAGATGTAGGATATATTTGCTTTATCTCAGAGATATTTAAAAGCAAATTGCACTGTAAAATTTGTATGCGCATTATATTTTGTGTTTATTTGAATGGACATCCCTGACCTTTCAAAAGCTAGAGCTTGTAGACGGGGGAGGGGAAGGTATCATAGTATGCATGAGTATTTAATTTTACCAGAAAATAACAACTAATTTTTCTGGGATTAATTTAAAATTTTTATTGGAAAGTTAGCAGAGCATTTTGGTTTTGTTATTTTTCAATTAAAATACACTTGGTTTTATTTAAACACTTAATTTTGGATCCCATCTCAGGAGTTGTTTGTTTTTGTTAAACATGACTTTTGTTACATCATTTCACAAGTGTGATCCCTGACATGAAAAAAGTATACCTAAATTAGCTGAAAGTAAATACTGCAGATGACTTTTTTCACTTTAAATGATACAGCACAGAGTGCAAAAGGCAGTTTATAACTACTGCAGGCTATGCAGGCTCCCGATTGTGGGCTGCTTTGAAGACCAGAGAGGACCCTGAGTGATCTAGTCCGAAGGTTTCACTACAGCTGTGACTGTGACTATGAACCTCTGCACACAGCAATACTAATTCTGTTTGGATCGAGTATAGGCATCCAGTCGTGTTTCTGATGCATTACACAGAGTACACTCTGAAAATTTTGTGCCAGCTGCAGAGGGTAAGATGACATCTGTCCTGAAGAAGGCCTGAAAAAACCCATCAAAGTTATTCAATAAATACAAATTTGCAGAACTGGTCTAGACTGGGTCAGCACTTACTATCTGGTATATGAACCACCAAAACCATGTTTTAGCTCTTGAGACTAATTTTTCAGCCTCTAGCCTTGCTCCTGGAAGATTTCTTCTATCTCATAAAGTTCTGTCAACAGGGATTTCATTCAGGTATCTTGATTTGCCCCCACACGATAAATTTCAGGATCGAGATCTAAATTTGTACAGTTAACTTTTCTGTTACGGATTTCTGTCAGGTAGACATTTAATTGATTGTCAATAGTCACGTTGAAGTGTTTCCCCAAGTTTTTAGACACTGTTCCTACCAATAGAAAAAAAAAAAAAAAAAGAATTCTGCACAAGTGAGCAGGATAACTTACCTTAGAAAAATGATGAATGTGCATACATGTGCACTAAGGATACAGATCTCAATTTCTTCTTAGCTGTTTATCTCATGCTCTCCTGAAATCTGGTTGGAGTTCTTGCTGCTATAACTGAATCAGATGATTCTATTATTCTTTCTGTTATAGGAAATACCTTCTTTGATGAGTATTTTTTGCTAAATAGGATCATACAGAATAATTTCCAATAAATTAGTTCATAGTATCTTCGATTTTTATTTAACAGCTACAACATATTGTCTGTTTCAGCTAACCATGTCTTTAAATTCACCTACACTTTTAAATGAAGAAAACTCCCAAGGACCAAAAAGAAATACCGAATGTTTGGAAAGTCTAGAATTGCAGAGTCCATCATCATTTCAAGATAACCCACTTCACCAATTACAGTTAGCATCGCAGGAAGTACTTGAAAAGGCAAAAAAGAGTGGGAGATCAAAATGCCCCCGATGCAGTAGTTCAAGGATGTTCTATTGTTATACATGCTATGTTCCTGTTGAAACTGTCCCTACTGAAGAAATTCCGACTGTGAAGGTTAATATTTCTTGTGGATTCTTTATAGTAGTCTTGTGGCTTTTAGTTACTGGGGACAGAGAGCAGACAGTCTGTCTGACTGTTTCTTTTCTGATTCATTCTTTGTGGACATTCATCTTTAACACAGCTATAAGTATTAATAAATTACAGTTAGATAAAATTATTGTTCTTATTTGAGGAACTACATGGACAAACACCGACAGTGTTCCAGTCGTCACATAAACATTTGTGTATCTACTAGATAAGAAGATAAGCTGAAGTCACTCAGCTTCTCATGCAAATGACTGTTTTCACTTAGCTCTTAAAAGTTTCTTTACAGTGCTGTTACCTTCATCTTTCAGTTTCTAAGGAGTCTGGCCAGTACAGTATGCATTGTGAACCAAAAAACATAATTTGTCCATACCCAAGAGTGAATTTTACATAAAATATGAGCTAAAAGGTGTTCCTAAATGTCATGGTTGTATAATTCAGATGACCACTCTTAAAATATAAATAAAGAATAACAAGCGTAATGCCCTTCAGCTAAAATACTTGGCAAAATGATCGGAGGACTGAGAGAGATTTTGCAAAATCACCTAGGAACCAAAATGTATTTTGAAGACACTCTGTACTTTGAAAGCATTGTGAAAATACTTTAGAAATACTTTGGAAGTTTGACCTAATGGATTGAGGTGTATTTTCATTGAAATGGCCATTTTTGCAATAGGGTGAATACCTAATATAGATAAGTATTCATATTTGGGACCATTATATTGCTCAAATTAAGATCATATCTTATTTACCTCATTGATACTATTTCTAGAGGTTTTATCACCCTGCTACTGCAGCATTCCAAATTGCATTCATTGCATACGTAGGAATTGATGTGAAATAAAAGAATGTAACAGGTGCTTCTTATCACTTGCCTCTAGTTTAGTTTTAAACTTACTCAAACAAAAACATTGTAAAACATCGTCAAACATGTCTTAATTACATACGCATAGGGGTTTCTCCTGGATTTTGCATAAATTTTTGTACCTGTATATGTGATCATTAATATTGCTTATTTATTTCTTTTTCTTTCTTGCCATAGTTACCTTTGAAGATTGACATTATTAAACACCCAAATGAAACAGATGGCAAAAGCACTGCTGTGCATGCTAAGCTCCTGGCACCTGATGATGTCACAATTTATAAATACCCTTGCATTCCTGAATATGAAGAAGAAAGACACGAAGTAAGAAATTCTATATAGATAGCTGGGCTTTGTGCTGGGGAGATACAGAGGTATCTTCTGTACTTCCTCCTGCAGTGGTACTGCACTCTGCTGGGAGGGAGTGGGAAGAAAGCACAGTTCTATTAATCTGGTCCAGTCCATCTTGAGCTCTCTCAAAGCTTAGGCCTACAAATGTACAGTGGTCCTCCAAAGCTTGGAAAAACTGTAGCACTATCTAACCACCTTGAATTTCTTATCTTCACCACCTTATACAATGGATAATTTGATTCACTGTGTATCAAGAAGTATTTTGCCCAAACATATGGAAGTATTCAGCTTACAGCAAGTTAAACAGTAGTTAGGTATTTATTTATCATATTCAGCAGCTGCAATATTTAAACTTAATTTTTTTTAACATTAGCTGTTACAGAGAAAGCCTCCTCAAATGCAACTGTTGTCTATCATAGCCAGCACAGAGCCTGAAAAAAGTGAGCTATGAATTTGGATTTATATGCTCAGTTAAATGTGTGAATAATCTGAAATCTAATACTTACACATTTGACGTCATAATTAACACCATTATTATTTGACTACATGAAGAGGATAACATACCTATCTCATAGAGACGTTATTTTCTTCAAGGAATGAGTCATCAAGGAAAGCATAGGTGGCAGAGAGGCACGAAGCTGAAAAAAAAGCAGGAAGAGCAATGGGGAAAGCAGGCAAAAACAGGAAAAGATTGCAGTGACTTTGTATTGTCCAGGCTTTCCTAGTCACAGATTCTGAGTGCTGTAATAGCTACTGAACAAATACTAAGTAAGGCCATCACTGTTTTTCATGTAAGAGAGTTGTGGGACACAGGAGCAGAAGAGATTATTTTTCTGACCTAAAATTTGTGAATGAAATTAGAAACTATTCTTTATGGCCTCCCTTCCCCATATACTGCAATGACAAGTGCAATTTGAACTTCCTCAGGGCTAACGCCATTGTCTTGGCTGAAAAAAAAACGTGTTTTTACAGAAGTAGAGGGGTGAAAGTGATGTTTAATTAAAGATCTCTAATAAGTATCTTTATCCATTGTTTTAACATAGTCTCTTATCCTTTTAGACAATAGAATATTTTTTAAGAGATATTTTGTCTTCTCCTGACTTCAGTGTTTGTGGGTGGGATAGAAAATTTCTGTTCTTTAATGAAGCAATTCCTGGTGTTTTATTAGATTTTGTTGACACTCAGATTTCTTTCTTTTCTTCATGTAGATAGCACTTATATTTCCTGGTCCCAATTCAGTTTCAGTAAAAGATATTGCTTTCCATCTCCAAAAATACACTAAGAAAGGTGTTTGTGATAATGATGATGACTGTTCCAGAGAGCCACTTCTTAAGCAAGCAAAAATAGAACTGAAAGAAGAAGAAAAAAATCTGAATGAATGCATCCCAAGCAACAGGAGTGAAGGCACTAGCCTGAAGAAAATAATATTTATTGACAGTACCTGGAATCAAACTAACAAAATAATAACTGATGAACGACTTCAAGGTAAGAAAAAAAAAAAGTTGAGATGTTATTGCTACAGCAATGATTAAGGAAAATACACGTGTATATAACGGATCTGAGCATGACATAAGTGTATACCTAACCCTATATCTGAGTATACATGAAAGACACAACAGCTTATTTCAGTGCTGTAGAAGACTTAGAATGGTTTGGTTTGGAAGGGACCTCAAAGATCATCTAATTCCAACCCCCCTGCGACGAGCAGGGACACCCTCCACTAGACTAGGTTGCCCAAAGACTTCCTGAGCCAAAGACTCCATTACTTTTCATGTCACATAGTTTGTTTTGCAAAACATTCAGACTAGTATTAAGAACATACCTACATTTATTTCTCTCACTTCTGTATTGGAACAAATTTCCTCAGTCTCACAGAATGGAAGCTGTCACATTAAACAACAGAAGAACAGTATTTGAGTGACCTCTGAAGGAAGCCAGAAGGATTTGCTTTGCAGGTGGCAATCTGCTTTTTCAGGAGACCCAGGGGAGCATTTTTGTACATGCTAGTGGCAGACAGGCCACTAGAAGATGAATGAGGAGTCTAGGAGATACAGCACAAGTATGTCATGGCTTGGTTTCTTTTTCTAGTAAAGTTCTTTGTTTCATGGTCATTTCAATGACCTCATGACTTTCCAGACAAAAGGGGAATGCCTGCTTGCCCTCCACATCCATCTCTGAAAGCAAAAACTTCCAATTCTGCAAGGGTTTTTTGTCTTAGGTTCATTACAAGAAGTATACATTCAAGTATTCTAAATAAAACCACAAAAGATTAAAAAATTTAGCAATAGCATTCCATTTCCTTTGAGATAAATACAAGTTTGAAAATACTTTCATTAATGAAAAAGGTGCACTTAGCTGGGAGGCAGACCATCAGATTTATATGTAATACATGTAACTGCTTACTAGTTCTTGCTTTGCACTGGACCTTAAAAGGAATTTCACAGACTTCTTACACGCAAGATGAATGTTGCCTTGCTGTCTAGTCAGTTTGTTAAAGAATCCCACATGTTAGTATAATGTATTGGCTAATTAAAATCCTGTTATTAAGTATTTAGTTTAACAAAAAACATACTCCATCAAATAAATTGAAGTATTACTGTAAAGATTAGAATAATTGCATGATACAAGTTACTGTGAAGCGTTTTGAACTTACTTTAAAAGGGTGAATTTAAGAAAAGTAACAGGCAGTCAGGGAAACTGAAGATTTCTGTGGAAGCTTACACAGTACATCAGTGAAAAAATTGTGATTATTGTTACTCTGGAGTTCTGAAAGAATGGTTTCCAGTTACCCCATCTGAATACTTGTCTGGTGGACTCCTCCGTCCTTTCTAGAACTCCATCTCTAGTCCAGCTGTATTCCAGGTCTTCTGTTTCCGTAAGCACCTTTCAGGATCACTGTAAGGGGTGACTAGTGTCATGCAAGTCAGTCTCTTATCCACACCCAAGGGAGTATTTTACGCTCCCTACAGCGGGTATAACAGTGTGCACAACCTATGCGTTCATTGCTTTCCTTAGTGCCCAGTGTAAAGGGTGTAAGTTGCATTAATGCTCCTTTTAGAGATTGCAGTTTTGCCTTCCAAGATGAATGGGGCAGAGATTCCTTAGGCATAAACTGATAAAATTTTTATGTTGTACAGACATGAAAATAGACAACTGTTGCCATTTTTCAATTTAACTACAAATGAAGTCATCCTCCAACACAATATTCTTCATATCTTAAAGTTCAAAAAGGAGTGTTCGTAATACCAAATAAAAAGTAATTGCTGTACTTCTTCATAAAGATGAAATTAGAAGATATACTACATGGAAACATTAATGAAGCCAAGAAAGTGTAAAGAAAAGCCTTGTGTTTTGTAAGCCTGCATTTATATATAGAGTAAATCTAGCTAATTGTACTGCAAGAGAAAGCAAATGAGTACATCAATCTTAAAAAAACAGCATAGAAAACTTGGACAAAAAATACTTCTATATCTTCTTGGAAAAGTGGTACAATGTATCTTTAGAAAGCAAAACTAAATCAGTTGTGTTAAAGACAGGAAATACTTGAAAGTTGGTAATGTTTAGGATTGATTACTTCATTAAAAGTGATCACTAGATCAGAAAGGAAACAATTGCATCTAATGTTAATGATTACTTTCTCATATGAGTGATGGAGCTTATTGGCAACATCAAAATGGTTGTTAAAGAAACAGATTGCTTTGGTATTTTTTCCTTTAAGTTTGATCCACTTTGTATTAGCCAAATGTCTATTTTATTAGCTTATACATTCTCTTGTACAAGGCTGAATCATATATCTGCTTCAGTTGTTTGGGTTTTTTAAGTTTCTGTGCTTGCTTTCATTTCTACAAGAAAATAGTCATCTTTGCCTGTGCACAGCTAGGATATCTGAGAGCAGTAAGTTGATGTTTTCTGAGGCAAAGTCCCATCATCCTCTTATTTCTGACAAATCTGTTGTCCTCACATTTTCATCTTTCTTCTCTCAAAATCACACTCAGCAGTGTGGTGTCAAGAAAAAGTGGGAGTTCTGAGTTTCCACATTCTTTCTAAAATAACACGCTGATCCAGGGGGGCATAGCAGAGGCAAGGTGAATCCAAGGTATGACAACCCCTTCTTCCTCAGCCTAAATTCATAAGTTACTCATAAACCTTGGGAATCTAAAAGATTTGGAAAGGAGCAGAGGAATTTCAGGCAGGAATTTCAGGCAGGAATACTTTAGGAAATTAACAGTATAATTAAAGTAATAATAGGCACACTAGTAAGACTTCGACTCTTACTAGCTTCCATAGGTACAAACCATAATTATTCATTACTTAATTTCTGCACTGGTATTTCTTGAGCTAGTGGATCTGCCTGTTGATTATACAAACTATAGGGACAAAGAGGTGATGGAAGGCTCAGAGTAAGCAGCAGGCTTCAGCACATGTGTAAACTTTACACTTTACATACATCTTATTGATAAGGCTGTCGAATCTCTTAGATGTAATGTCAGTGACCAAACATGAATAATACAGGATCCTACAGGTTTGAGCATTTGATTATTCTAGCACAGGGACCATGCTGTGATAATAGAGTGTGGCACATGAGGAAAAAATGGAGGCTTAAGGAAAGGTGGGAGATCTCTGAAAGGTATTTTCTGCCATAAGACACATATACAGGAGAATAACTTTTGTAAGGAAAATTTGGTTACGTTATCAAATTAGATTTAAAGATAGCTGTATTTCCATTTTGCTTGATTCATAGAAACATTTATTTCTAATGAGCTCAAAGTGTGTGGATGCTAAAAAAGCAAAACCAACATGTTGATTTCCTTAGTATTGTAAGCTTTCATATGAACAATCTATTTGTAATAAAATATTGCCTTTTGACTGTATAGATACAAATAAAGTATAGAAGATAGAAACATGCTCAGTAAACTTTAATTCTTGACTCCCTCTTTTTTGGTTACAAAACTCCTAAAATTTTATGTTTGAAATTAACTGCTCCTGCATTTGTGGTAAGCTCAGTAGTGTCAGTGGTCTTGCCTTCAATGAACACTTATTTGTATTCAAACCACAAACAGGAGGAATCGTTCCCTAAATTTAGTTCACTGCTGTTTAGGTGGAAACATTGCTGAACTTGAAAGTTTTCACTTTGGTTAGGGCTGAGAATTCAAGTATTGAAACCTCTTGAGGGAAACAAGTTTAATGCAGTTTCCTGTTAATAATTTTGAATGCACATATGTATAGGATTATTAGAGGTAATAATTAGGCTACATTTTTTTAATTTTTAGTTCTGAAATACCAACAATAACATTTAAATTCAGTGCTGGAATCTCCTGTTCACTTTAAAAAAAAAATGCTGTAGGAGAGATTTCTTTTACTATGCAAGACATCATATATTACTAACTGCAAAGCAGACAACTAAATCCATCTCGCAATTACTCTAGAAAGTAGTTCAAATGTAGTTTGAAGGTAAAAAGTATAGAATTACGAGTGCTGGGCTATAGGCCAGTTTGTGCTCCTGAATTTGGACCTTACTGGAACTTCTCTGTCCATCACTTCCAAGCAATTCTTAAACCATATTGTTATTTATATTACTTGTACTAAACCATCCCATGACTTAGTATCTGATTTTAACATTTAGAAAAATATAATTTTAGAACCTGATGCTGGTATTACTGAGAGGTATATATGCTATTCTTTATAATCCAGCTGTCCATCCTGTTTACAAAGTGATTATACATTAAGGTGGTTTTAATTGTGAGTAGTTTGTGCATCCTAAGGAACATAAAGACCAAGATACATGTTTAAAATTCTTCTGAATAATAAAACAGACATTATAGTAAATAAAAGATTTTCATATGCCATACAGAAAGCAAATTTATTTCTTTCATCTTGAGTGGGAATGCTTTTAGTTTTGAATAAAAGTAATGACCAGATTCTGTCATACTTACTCCTGAGTAATCCCAGTGAGATTTCAGCTACTTAACAAGCATAAGTGAAGAGTGTCCTCGGTTCA